GGGCTTCTGTGACCCATACTTTGGTAGCTAAATCACAAAGCCATTAGCTTGACTTTAATTACTCAAATACCTTAATCTTCAGTGTTAAGCATTTTCACTCAAAGTGAGGTTCTGCTCTGTGGATTACATATTTAGAGCAGGATGATTATTACGGTATAATCAATGTAGCACTTCTGCTTGCCAGATGGCTTTTCAGGAGGTGAATACACCGTTAGCATGTATTTTTGTGTAAATTTGGAGCTTGCTTTTATGGTTTCATTGCACTCATTCTGCCCATGTTTCTAATGAAAACAATGATTCCAAAACTGAGCAGGCATTACTTCCCAGGGTGATAGTCACAGAATGGCAGAATGACTGAGTTTAGAAGGGACTTTTGGACGTCACCTGGTTCAACCCCTCCTGCTCAAGTAGGGCCACCTAGTGCCAGCTGCCCAGGACTGCCTCTAGACAGCTTTTGAGTATGGAGACTACACAACCTTTCTGGGAAACCCATTGCAATGCTTAGTGTTAGATAATATTTTTTCCAGGTGCACTTAAATACGTAGGTTTGACACTTTTCACTGTGGTTAATCTGTGTGTTTGAAAGTATAACAGCTTTTAAATTTTGAAATATTGGAACTTTTTCATGATGTATCCTTCTTAAGATATGATGTTCTCCTTTGGAAGAACAGTAATAAATTTTCAAGATTTTTATTTGTTTGCAGAACTCCAGTAGAGTTTCTGTTTTAATCTGAGAACAACATGCTGTCACCAGCTGTTATTGTAATGGAATACAGTTTTTTCTTTCTAATGATATCCTAAATGTTTAGGTAATTTAAGCAGCCATACTGAAGACATATGATATTGCACCTATTAGAAACAAATACTGCAAGAATGTGAGCAATTTGGGTACAAAGCCATCAAGGCAATCTAATTTTGATCTGCTGTATCTGAAGTCACTAGCTCTTAGGAAATACCTGCTCTCTGGATACTTTTTGTTGACAGACGAAAAAGAAAATATGCTCATTATATGAATAAATCACATAGAATAATAGTGTGGCTGTATGACCTTCTTACATGGCTCTACCTTCTGTATCAGTGAAGATTCAAGTGATCTATTATTTAAAACAAAACAAGCTATTTTTATATGATAAAGTGGCAGCTGTTTTTTTTTCAGCAGTATGTCTTTGTGTTTCGAGGGGGGGAAGAATGACTTGGTTAATATTAAGTTTCTATTTCTATTATTTTCATTTTTTCAATTTAAGCTGGAATTTTGTCACAGTTGTAGAAATTCTATGGAACTGTAATGATACCAAAAAGCTCCTGATATGGAGATGACATATTTTGTGTAAGCGATTCTTTTTTAAAAGTGGCTTCTTCACTTAGTGGACAAAACCTGAACATGTTTGTTTGGTCTACTAAATAATTTATAGCTCTTCACCTACATTGTATACTAATTTGTTTACTGAAATAATCTCCTATACTGATAAAATTTTAGCCAAGTATAATTTAAGACTGACTGCTGTTCTTTGAGGCTACTTATTTAAACTTCCTTTGAAGAGGCATATATAAAAGATGGTCAAGTAAACACTGGTGGAGGGACTTTCTGGGGCTTTTGTTGGTCCAATAAACTGTAAAAAAAAAAAAAAAAAAAGGCAATTATATTGGTCCTTGATCTGAAGATAGATCGCCATTCAAGGGCAAGATGGATTTTGCCCTTGCTAAAGCAAAAAAAAACCCAAAAAACAAAAACCAAAAAAACCCCAAAAACCAAAAAACCAAACCCATAGAAGACTTGAAAGGGAAATGAGGAATATGGTTTTCAGTAAGTGTTTGATAAGTTTCTGGGATATTTAGGATTGGTGTGGGGCAATAAGTGTTAACAGTAATGAAGGCATATCTACTGGATTTGGAATTTGTATGAAGAAGAAAAGTTACATTTGGTGATAAAGAAGCAAAAAGAGGATTTAATGATGAAGTAGTGGGATGGGAATGGAGAAAGAATGGATAGAGAAATGTAGAGCGTGATTAGCATCTGCTAGAACATAATGAGCAAAGGACAAGTAAGTCTAGAAGAATATCAAATATGAAAAAAGAAAGTGAAGGGTGAAGAAGTATCAAGGCCAAGATCACTGAATGGACATGGGTGATTGCAGGAACACAGAAACTCACAAAGAGCCTGAACTCAGTGGTTTTGGAACCAAATGATGGTTAGAATAGCATGAGAGTAGAGAATGTCTGATCCCTTTTGTCCAGGAGAAAGTTCCTGTTGGCCTTGTGTGTAATGTTAGCAGAAGAGATATGCTGCAAAACAAGTTGAGGAGTGAGTTAGAGGACATGTATAGATTACAGAAGAAAATAGTCCACTCTTTAGCGGTGTTTCGGAGAACGAAGATAGGACAATAATAGTCAGTTGTGGGTAAAGGAAAAGGAATTGGAGGCAAGGAAAGCTTACAACCTTAATTTGGAGAAAGTGATGAGAGTCAGACTGAATGACAAAAGACAGGAAGGTTTGAGAAGAACTAGGTAGACTGTAGGAGTAAAATGCTGGCATCATGTGAAGGAGGAGAACTCAGAAAGGAAAACTAGAAAAGGGATGATAGGGTTGGAATCGGAAAGGACCTCTCAGGTTCTATCGGTTTCTGGCAAGATCTGAAAGAAAAAGAGGGCTTGAAGGAACAAAGAGAGAGGAAAGAACGTGAGTATCAGTGATGATACTGTCAGATTAGGGAGACCCAGGAGCCAGTCCTAATACTTGTTCACTAATGGAAAGGCTAAGAAAAGAGAGGGGGAGCCGAATAAAGGGAGCTGACCCCAGTTGCTGGATTTGAGTTGCCCCTCTATTCTGAGGTGTATAAACATGCTTATAGAAGAAGGTGAATGTGCACCACAGCTGTAAGTACCCAATGAATGCAAGATTCACTTGCTGAGCACAAGCATGCGTTAGTGTTTTACATGTTTGTGTGTGTTTGGTAAACAAGTTTAATTTTGATTTTTTTTTTTTTTTTTAATGTTTCAGGTTCGTGGGAGTAAAGGTGAGGTCCTTTATATCCTGGACGCAAGCAATCCACGCCATTCTAATTGGCTGCGTTTTGTCCATGAGGCTCCATCACAGGAACAGAAGAACCTGGCAGCCATCCAGGTAGATGTGGTGGATTTCTACCATTTGCTTCCTGTTATTAATTTACTAATTTGATCTCCTCTTTGGTCTTTATTTATTGCAGTAAAATTGCAAGATCTGAGAAAAGTAGCAAACTGCTTTCCTTTTCCTACCTTTCTTTTTAGAAGTAAACTCTTGTGCTTAAATATAATATCATAAATAAGATTGATAGGGTGAAATAACAATGAGGTCCTTATTATCCATTGTAATGGAATCGCACTGAATCACTTACATGAACTATATCTCCTGGCTTAAAGTGAACAGTTTACATTAAAAAAAAAAAGTAATTTCCAGAATATTTAACTCACTACTGTAACAACAGTTTTAATTTTTCTCACTATAGCCTTATTCAGTCAAGTTACGCTTTTACCTGAATGCAGTTGTTTTCTTGGTATTGTGGAAATTAAAAAGATAACTAGTTAACTATATTATCTGGCTGAATCAGGGCTAATGTTTTAGAGGCCTAGCTGTGTCTCATGCTGAACTCAGGTATGGGCTTAGGTGTGCGGAAAGCAGAATCATGCATTTGCTTTAGAGTTTAAAATTTAATACAGACGTGTGACAGGTTTGAAAGTGAGCATGGTGCTTAAAATACTGCAGTAGAAAACACAGAATTGAAGGATCTAATAATCTGATAAGATGATCAGGCAGTGCTTGAGGATACATTAATTAAAAAAATAATTTTCTAGTCTTGCCTGTGGATCTGAATTTATCCAGCTTATTTTTACATTTTTGTATTTGTCATTTGCAGCATTCTGTAGCAATGAGTTCCACTGTTTTAATTACACATTATGTTGAAACACGCATGTGTTTTTCTTCTAGAAACTTCTTAATTTCACTTGATTTTTCTAGTCCTTGTATAACAGTGAATAGTTGCTTTATGTTCATTTTTCTATGCTGTCTTTGATTTTATAGAACCCTATTATATCCTTTCCCTCTTATTTGACAGCTCTTTTCTCAAGCTGAGGAGTCTTAGTCTGTTTAATCTCTCTTTTTGGAAGCATTCTGTGACTTTGCAGAATGCAACAAAGACAGCAATACTTTTCTAGTTACTGCTATTGTCCTTTTGCAGATTATGAAAGAAATGAACTATGTGCATATTTTTTTTTCAACAGCTCAGTTTTACAGTAAAATAATTTCCAAGCCCATATAAGTAAGAATTACGTAGCTGTGTTAAATTTTTTGCTCAAAACATATACTTTCTAAAATGTTGTTTCAGGGTAACCAGAGCTATTTGCTGGTGTAATCCAAATTTGAAAAAAAAATAGGAAAAGGAGAATTATTTATCAGCATTTTAAAAAATTATTATTCTGCTTTTTCATCATAAGATTACTTTTTCCGAGGATTTGCCTGCAGATCCTTGACAAAAGAACTTAAAAACATAGTTTCTGAGGAAAAACAAACAAATTTGCTTTGCCAAGAAAAAATTTCTGATGAAATGAAACTGGAAAAAATATTTAAAAACTACTAAGTAGAAAAAGAATAGTAGTAAAACCTGAGCATGTAGTTCTGTGGAAAATGCATTACTGCTGTTCTCCCCCCTGCCCCTTCCTCTGTATTTGTACTCAGTGGCACTCAACACTAGTAATTTCAATTTCTGTGTGGATGACCTGCAACTCCTTAATTCTTCTACTCACCGGAGGGACTGTTCGCTTCCTTAGATCTTAAGCACGCACTGCCCAGTGAGATTGCTGCTGCCAGTTCCCCCACAGACCTGGTATCAGCCTCTCTCTTCCTGTCCCAGTTGTGAGCTTTTCTGTGATTTCCATTCATCTGTTATATCTCCTACCACGCTGCTTCTGCCTGGCTTTTCTTCCTTTGTCACAGTAGTTAAGTGCTACTGTTAACAGTGTACTGTGTTGGGAAACCCAACTAGTCATCTGCCAGCCTTCACTTGATTTGCGCCTTCTACCTTCCAAAGCTCTAGTTTTACTGAATGTCAGTCTGTGACATTCCATCACATATTGCTGGCTGAACATAATTGCAACTTTGCTGCAGCTGCTGCTGTTTCCTTGGGCCTTGTTGCTGTTCCTGTTTTAGGTTGCTGTGGACAGCTTCATCATCTGCTTTTCTTCTGGGCCTGTACTCCAGGTTATCAAATTGTCTAGTTCAGAACTCCTTAGGTCTTAACATCCAGGCTACAGTTGAATTTTGAGTAACAGATAAGAAAGAGCGTTTGCTTTTCATCCGTTCAGCAAAAACTCTTGTCAAAGCTCACTGAATGACTGCTTTATTATGCTTTTCCTGATGTCTATGACAAGTCAATGGTTAATTTAGTATGACCACTGCCTCTGCAATTATTTCTATGTGTTTTCATTCTGTCTTTGTCTCTCAGCTATACCAAGGTCTATCAAAAGACTTGTTGTCCTGCTTACAGTACCAAATACGAAAGGTCCTCATACATGAGGCATTAGTCAGTGATTAGAGTGTCATCAGTGCATAGGCAGTGTGATAGCAAATTACAGTCAACATTACCAAAGGCAAAGTAAGGTTCACAAGAGGGAGCAGTGTGAGCAATTAATGTTCATTATTATATTTTAAATGAAATAGTAAAATGACCTGAACTTCTGAATAGAATTTTTAATGGAATATCCTGTGCATGCCAGTGGGTTTTTTGATAACAAAAATGATTATTTAAATAAAGAAATGGAAAGAAACTGTTACACTGTATTGCATAATGTAATGCTTTGGTGTGCTTAGTGCTTTTTGTGTGCCTTTTTAAAGGATCATATTGGAGTTAAAGGGTTGTTGAAAAAGAAAAAGAGATAGCAAGAATGTTACTCCTATAAAAGCTTCTACAGAAAAACATTTGGAAAAGTTACAGGGGAAAAATAGAAGAAACATGATCAGCATGTACAAAATGATGAAAAGTACAGGAAAGGGAAACTTATGAAAGCAAACAAAAATTTACTAAATTATCTCATAGGTTTTTTTAGTACCATCAACAATCAGCTGTGAAAGTAACTTGTATATTCTATGTGAGTGACCTTGTAGCTATGCAGATATGTATGGATGTATAAGTATTTAATTGCATATAACATTAATAGGTACTAGTTTTGTTGAAAAAAGCTGAATATGCATGTATTTCTTGTCAGGGTTTGATCTCACTTTAGTAGATGGAGATGCAGATCCCAAAGCTCTGCTATTCCTTTAGCGGAAGAAAACTCAACATCACAGCCCACAAATCCGTCAGTATTTTAATTCCACAATTGTCACCTTTAATGTTAGTTTTCAGATTTCAGGTCACTTGGTGCAGTAGCACTTCGTTTTATGAAATTGGTGGACAAAACACTGCTGGAATGTTCTACTAATGATACCCTTTAATTTGAATTGAGAACTGCCTGCTTGCCACCAAGATGATAAAATGGTGTTTTACACATGTCTGCAGAAAATTTACATTTCACAAGGTTAATTATAGTGTAATGCATAACTTTTTCCTCTTTGTATTTTATGAAGTTTTTTTGTGGGGTTGGTTTGAATCTCTAAACAAGTATTAGATTTTTCTCTCTCAGTTCTACTGAGAGATCTTTAAAGTGAATCTTTAACAGTGAATCTTACAAGGTAAAATTGATCCATTGAGAATATTTGACCAAGATTAATGATACTGACCTGTAAAATGTGAAAATAAAGTAGACCACAGTGGTGGAACAAGAGCTTCTCTTGTTTATCCTAAGCCTGTTCTACAAACGCTTAAGAACTTACTCAGTTGTGTGCTTCACAGCTGCCCCTCTGCAATTTTCTAAGAGACTTTGAGACTGAAAGTGTAAATGGAAACTAAATTATTTCCTTATTTATACCCACTAATGCTAATTTCCACTGATTATCTTTCCCAATAGTTTTCTTTCCAGTCTCCAAATACTCCAACAGGAGCTTTTTGGTCTACTCTGAGAACATTTCCAACCCTGATGACATCACTGTGGTAGTGATAAACATTATAGTCTCATATCCAAATAAAAGTGATTGATAATCGGTTTACTATTTGCTGCCCAATGCTTGGTATTCAGTTTAAAAGAAGATGAAATGAATGCATATGTCCCTTTATACAAATAAAGTAAAACACATTCTGAGCTGACTGCAAAATACGATTGGTTCATCATAGCTTAGTTGTACTCAATGATTGTGTTTAGACCCATTGCAAAATGCTTCCTGGAGTGAAAAAGCAATCTAGAGGACATGGGAATTATTTGAAAAGTTTGGTGCTGGTTTTTTTGTTTTTTTTTTTTTTTTTTTTTTCTGTGGGGGGTGGGTGGGCTGGGTTTGTGATTTTTATTTATTTATTAAATTATTTTTTTCCTGTAATGCTATGTATTTTATACAATCCTGATTCTGGTGGGAGCTCTCGGTGGCGTTGTGGGAAGTGTTTTGGGGACTGAGTTCTACCTCCGCTCCCGGGGCGGGCAGCCGTGGTGTTCGGGTCATCTTTGACTGAGAAGGCAGAGGAAGTATTTTTAACAGCTATGCTATGAGTAATATTACAGTGTGGGTGCTAGAGGAGGACGGAAAGGTTGGAGGGTACCTGTGTATGTACCAATTGCTTTTCTGAGTGTTTTGCACAGCTGATTTGCTGGAGGCTTCTCTAACTTATGTAAAGTAGTAATTCAATGAATTAATCCTCTACTATATTTAAAGTAGCTTTAGAATTACAACTTTTGCATTAACAGAAACTGTATAAATTGTAATACTTTTTGCCCTGAGCTATTCCTAGCTATTTACTTATAAATATGACTCCTGATATGTAGCAAAAATGCATGGTAATTATAATAATCAAAAGGAAATGGCTCCTATCAAAAATACCACAGTTTTGTTCTTTCAGTTTTTAGACTGGTAGAGTATTATCTTTTCAATATTTGTTTATCCAGAATGGATAAGTTTATCTGTTTGTCAGTTGTAATTTTATTAAACACTCTCTGCTGGAGATTATTATGCAAAACAGATCTTGTTGTTAACATCGGAACTGTTTTATAATCAGAATTGCAGCCAGC